TAAGTTAATGGGGAACTGTAGGAGATGACAAATTGTGTAAATCCATTGTGGAATGTACCCAGGACTAACACTACCAAGAATGAACACTCTTTCAAAAGGTGCCATTAGATAACTGATGGCTACCAAGTAGTCAGGACTTTGTTTTGATGTCTTCTTCGAGGAACAATGCCTTCAACAGCAGTGTCACTAGTCACCATTCTGGGGCATTTTGTGGGGAAATTCTGGCCCAGAATTAAGGCACTAATTACTGGTCTCCTAACTCGTTTTTTCCTCAGTTCACATACTGATCAGGCTCAGCCTTGCTTAGTTTCTGAAATCTGATGAGATCAGGTTACAACATGGAAACACTGCTTCCAATAAATAACAGCAGCCAAAAACCTGTTTGGCATTCTCGCCTCCACTGGTTTACTGTGGGACAAGCTAGGATTGACACGCCAGCTGGCCACTCACCTGTCACTCCGGTTGTCCGGTTGTCGTGGACACCAATCTGACAGGAGTCCTGTACCACCAGGAGGCGATTTATGATGACGCTCATCTCAACCTTTTTACTCACAGAAAAAATGAAGTGTGGAATCATGGAACAGGCCTCTGGGATACACGATCAGACAGTTTTTTTGCCGGCTAATGTGTAAGACAATCAGATAACATCTCGGGACTCACTGGCTCAATGAGGTGCGTCAGGTTATTTAAACTCTGACCTGGAAGTGTTCGGGAGTTTTCTATGATCTTCGCTTTGCTTCAAGTTCTCTAGTCCCTAATTCTCACTATTTGTTTCCTTGATTCTGGACCCTCACTTTGAACTGACTACAGTACGTACAGTATATTGGATTCTTCACTTGTGTTTGGTCCTGTGTCTTTAATTTCTGTTCTCTGCTTGTTTCCCTGGCGTCTCCCTTTTGTGCTGCACTACTGTGTCTACCTGGCTTTGAACATTGCCTGTTTCAAATTTCAAAACCGGACTGATATTTGAGTGCTTTCCCCTGCAGTACACTCTGTACTCCCTGCCATCGCTGTCCTACTTGCTCGCACAATGTACACCTGACTCCTGCCTGCTCTTGGGTTTGTCTTACGAAAAAAAGACCACTGTTTTTCTCAGCAGAAAAGCAGTGGTTTATTACAGTGTCTTCATACAACAGTTACACTGGAAGTTTTAGATACAACTAGTTTTGTTGTGTCTTAGAATTTCTTCCCTTACATAAACACCTGGTGGTACCAAAGACTAGGTTTGGAAGCTCAAATATTTGACAGTTTCTGTACTATCTTAAGCAGACAAAATTCAGGGAATTCTAGCATTTTATAGACATTAAACACTAAGTAAAACTATAAAATTAAATTACATGACAGACCTTAACAATCCTGTACTGCTATTATATCAGAAAATAACCAAATGGTGGACAAAGCAGAATGTCTCCTAAAAGTTTATGAAATTCAGACAGCTACCTATGAATTGTGCTATTCACAGAAAAAAAGGTTAATGGTATTGCACTGCTGTGCAGATTACGTGATCATTATTCAGAGTGAAAGAAAATGTAGCCTTCTACAATGTGCAAAATTTAGAATACAATCATCCATCCATCCATTTTCTAACCACTTTATACAATACAGGGTCGTGGGAGACGCTGGAACTTATTCCAGAAAGCAATGGGCACAAGGCAGGATACACTCTGGAATTCTAGTCCATCACAGGCCACACACAGACACAAACACATACACACACTCATACAAGGGCCAATTGTCCCAGAAACCAATTAACCTACCAGTATGCCATTGATAGTGGGAGGAAATCCATGTGAACACAGGGAGAACATACAACTCCACTCAGACAGCCCCAATGGGATTTGAACCCAGAGCCCCAGCACTGAGAGGCAGCTGTACCACCATGCTGCCCAGAATAAAATCATCATCCTTGAAATCCACATGTTTGATCATGCTGGTCAATTGTGATTGTATTACAGATTTTGTAAATGCTGTGTGTTAAAGTGCAAAACATTGTTTTGCCTTATAACGTGTGCTTACAGCAAGTTAGAAATACATTTCTGTAAAGCTGATAGTTTATGTATTTAAAGAAATAAAGTTTCTACAAACAGAAGGTCTTAATCCCTACATAGGCTCATGCTACTGAAAAATTCAGGTGAATACAAAGCACAGTAAATCCATTAGACAACATGAAAGTCCAACTTGTCCATAAACTTATTTTTGCAGGTTTATGACTCGTTTTCATGCATCATGTTTAATCTCCAAAACTTTACTTAACACCATGTAATCTGATGTTTGATGAGAATCAGCATTCCTGGTATGTCTAAGGCCCTGCATTGAACAGGCTGGGAGAATGATTGCTTTCATCATTGCTTGTTTTCAGTCCATGACATTTCAATTTAAACGAGCCTGGGTACAGGACCCACAGTCCATAATTTCTCATTCAAACCCGTCACATTTTCCAACTCAGTGTAATTTTATTGCAGGGGATTATTAATATACCCAGTTTACCCTGTCTTTTATTCTGTTTCTTTTTATCTGTGGCTTTTTAAAATTCAATTGAATTACATGTCTTGGAGTGTGTTAGTGATTGCATGAATATGTTTGGCAGACTCCATCTTTTGATAATTTTTTTTCTCTTTCATATTCTTTTCGATATGTGTATCAGCTTAAACCTGTTTGCCATACAAAAGTCAAAAACATAAACATACAATATATACAATAGCTCACAAATTCTGATCCACTAGTAAGATATGGTGCAGTTTTAATATTATTGGAGCAAGTGAAAGAAGAGAAATGTTTCTTAACTTTCCTTATTCATTCTATTTTGCAACATTTATACAGTATATATATTTAAAGAGATGCTTCCTGTTTTTTTAAGTGACCTCATAAGGGTAACATGGAAAAAAAAACATTGTTTAACTTGTTAAGGAGAATGAGAGGCCTGCTTCCTAACACTGTCCATGTGTGGCATCTGCTGTTCTGCTTCTGCCAGGAGTCGATCAGTCCCCCAGGAACCTCCTCAAACTGTGCTGATTTATGCAACAAAAGGCTGGGTTTTAGAGGACAAGAGGAAATTCAGCACCATCCAGTTTCCTATGAGATTATGTCATTCGCCATGTAACAGGCTCAATGATCCTCGCTACACATGCAAACAGTTTCACCAGTGTGGGATTCTGCGCCAGAAGATGCTGATTGGCTTCTTCTTAGAGGGAATAAAAGAGGATATACTGCAGAGCTATCTGTAAATGCCAAGATCATCTTTAACTGCACTCAACATCTGGCAATTATAAAATCACATGGTTATTACTATAACTTTTCAAAGATAAATGAAAATGTAGAGTCACTAGCACAAACAGCAAGAATCAAGAAGTGCTTAATGACCTGATATAGATTCAGTCACACTGTACAAATTACTTGTATAGATCAGCTTAGAACAATTAAACTCAATAGTTTTGATTAAAGCCATGACCTTAAACAGTGAATAGGTTCCTTGCAAGAACGCAGCTTGTTAATAATTAGGACGGATCTTCCAATTAATGTGGATTGACACAATCTGCCAACTGTGTGTTGACGTTGAGCAATATACCAAAGCCAATAAATCACTTTGTGGGCCCTTCATAATTGCACTACTGTAGTAGTTTAGTTTTAAGTTGAGTGATGAATGTAGATGTCAATCTGGGATCCATGGTACAAGGTACAATATTAGTACAGACTTTAGTTACTGATGGGTTTGTATATTGGATCCTTATATTTTTTGCAGGGTTTGTGTTTTAACTGAGTTTCACTTCACAATTTCACAGACTATCCTCTGCCAATAGAGAGAGGCTTGTGCTCATTTTTCTAAGGTCACTGTGTGATGATTTACTGTATTGGTGTCAGGTGGATTCTCAGTTATATGACAAATACATTTAACGCAACATAATGTGCTCTTGGGTGACAGAGAAACTGAATTCTTCAAAATTATATTTGAAATCAAAGAAGATGAGGTGATAAGAAATTATTATATAAATGTCAGTTATTATTATGATTCTACTATTAAGTGAAAATCCTAAGGTTTTCTATCATTTCATATATTTAAATGTGAATTAATATTATTTTTGTATTTCAGCCATTAAAGCACAGATCTAACCCCAATTCAGATTCTGAAATGTATTCTTAAGTAAAGAAATTCAAAGACTGACATATTATAAAACCACTACTTAATAGCAGGCATTAAAAAGAGAATCGATGTATTTTTTTAAACACTTCTTTTGTTAAATTCCCAGGAGCTGCATACTGCCAAGCCAGAAATTAATTATTTTGAAAGTTCTCTGCCCACATGTTTCTTTAACATGAATTTCGGTAATAGGTAGATTGGTTAACTGTACTTCTGCCAAACTCTCAGTTTTGTGCCTAGTAAATATATGAAAAAGTATACTTCAAATTAGGTTTTATCAGCTCAGTAGCACTATTAGGCACCTTTTGTCTTCACATTATATTAAAAGGTGGCTTGATTGTGGATGGAGGAAGTACAAGTGATTTTTCAAAGAGAGAAATGAAAGCTTTCAAATTGCACTGATGAGCTTAATGTTGAGTTATAATGTTCACTAAAATTAAACATCCGGCAAGCACAAGACATTGCAGATGTCTAGTAAACAAGTTAAAATGTGTGGTTTTCCCCCTGCTCTGGTTGAAGTGCTTTGCAAGTTTATTACAAAACATAGTAAAAACTTTAATTTTGTTAATTAGATGTTACCTTTAGAAAACGGTTGTTTATTAGGATAGATACTGTACAGTATATAGAATTAATTTTCAAAATCTAAGAGCATTTACAGTATGTTTCACTTGGAGGCTGTGTGTTACAAGGTGAAAATACAAAACAAATTGCAATGTGCGAATAAAATTAAATTCTGATTTAATGTGCCTTGATTTTAAGCTGTTAGGCCACAAAATGTGTGGAAAGGATGTGTGGGCTTTCTGCAGGCACTGGATCAATCTGTACAGTGTGTTGCTTCTGCTCAAGCTGAGAAGGGCTGGCCTACCTTGAACAATCAGGTGCACTTGAGACGTCTTAGGCAGCTGCTGCGTCTGGATGGAGCACGTGTAAGGGCCCTCATCGTACACGTCCACTTTCTGAATTCGGAGACTGTACTCCTGGCCCTTAGTCACCAGGTCCACTCGGGGGTCCAGCGACCATTTGTCTTCCCCAGCAAAGATAATGTTGGACCGGTTCAGCCAGGCTACCTTGGACACTTTGTCATCAACAATACATCTGCAGAGGAGAGAGAAAGAAAATGGAACCATGCTGAAGTGGCATTTGACCTTGGGTGCCATCAGTAATATTTTACTGAATGGGATGCACCATCAGGAGCATGCTGAGGTACAGGTAAGGAATCCACTGTTACACAGGCAAAGGATGCTTTTAAACAAATAAGGATTCTAGTGCAAAACCATAGGTAGATTTAAAAGTATAAAACAATTACAAAGGTAATTCCCATAAATCACGTTCTACTCAAATTGTTATTTATGCATTGTTTAACTAAAATAAGAAGATGACAATGTAATACAAACAGTAAATACAATTCCTAAAGTGCTGGCAAGATGAGATCCTCTGAATACCTGTAGCTATAAGCAACCAAATGAGCTTGATGGGATGAATGCTCCATACATCTTCTCTAATCTGCATAAGAAACATGGGAACATAAGAAAGAATCTTCTCTAATCTGCATCCTTTCTTATGTTCTCCTGCTGTTCTTGTTTCATAATATTGCTACTGTATATAAGCTGTCTTTTGCTTACAGGGATTACTGGAAGTGAATATCACATGGAAGAGAGTGCAGTTTCCACAAAAAAAAATGCCAGTATTTTTTTCAGGATCACAGATCACTGATGTCCAGACGTTCTAAAAAATCAGTTCCGAACAAAGTTAAACTTTGAGAGACATTTTTATAATACAGATCAGTGTGCCACCTTTTACTCAGCATCTGATTGCTTTGACTAAGATGTTCGTAATAAAGCAGAATGTATTTAGGTTAAGTGCTGCAGATAGACCTTACACCTGTCAGCTCTCCTCAGATATCATTTACTCAGCAAAAATAGCTCTGCTGAGAACAACTACTGCCTGCTGTCCACTTCAATACTCATAGCCAGTTTGAGTCTGTGCACCACCAATGATATCCATTTCTGTTTTCTTGTGGTGTTCCATAACCCTTGGGAAGATACTGTAGAATTAGACACAGGACTCCTGAAACAGTTCTTAGTGAAAGTTCAAATAAAACATTCCTACTAATGTGCACCCACTATATATACTGTATATAAATAATTCTTCACATCTATATTTGCCCCTTGGCATGCTTTATTACACGCAGCAAGGTGTAACTAATTTGTATCATTAATTATTTAGTAACCTTTCTCGTTTCAAGTCAAGATGAGGCTACACTTGTATCGCTTTTTTAGATTCCTTTGCTGAATCAGTCTTTTGTCTTTTCCTGGTTGGGTCTTATTTTCAAAGCCCCCGCTGGCTCAACAGAAAGAAAGCCCTAATTTAAAAGTAAAATAAGCTACCTTCACCTGCACAAGTTTTTTTTTTTAGATTTAGTGCATTTGCTGTATTTCGGACACTCTTTTTTCACATGCTAAAAATAAACTGGGAAAAAATCCATAGATCAGTGAGCAGTTAGTGGTTTCTGAAAATCAAATCTGAAACCATTAGAAACCTGATCTAAACCGATTGTACAGTTTAAGATAAGGAGCTGGGTCCTTTGCACACAAAGAATAACAGCGTGATGCAGTCAGCTTGAACATCGGAGCACGTCTCCAGAGACAGAGTCGGTGGAGTTCTCTGCTTTATGCTCGACAGTGTCTAGAGCAGTTCTGAGTGACACTTGGTGAACATGGTCTCCAAGCCTTCGATAATTTAGTGGTTGTCTCCCTGAATTCTCTTCATTCGGCACCGCTCTTAAATTGTCATCGGGATCTGTGACTGGCTTCATAAGCAATACTGTCAGTCTTGATCAAGTCACTGGAGGAGCTTCAGATATGGTATTATTCTGCAGTAATGGGAGAATCCAGCTGGCACTGCATCATGCAGCAGAGTGGGGCCTCCCCCTTGACTCGGCAGTACAGCAACTCCACTAGGAGTGAACCTGGTCACACACTATCAAAATTAAATATTTAGCACTGCAGGACTGGAGGTAATTACATGCCATTATTCAAGAAGGCCGGATTATGTGTTCATCCTCTGTAATAGTGTGGGCTCCCATGGTGCTTTAAAAATACATAGTCTCGTTGAATATTTTAGGGGGCTGTGTATTCCAAGTTATACAGAAGCTTGTTCAGTAGGTGATGCAGAGTCCGGCATAGAGCAGAAATGAGCTCTGTCTCTCTGGTTTATGTAGTTCCACTGGGCAGTTTCTCATTCCTTTCCAGTCGGTGCAGAAAACCGTGGATGATCCCTTTTTGGAATATACAGTCATTAAAAAAAAGTGTCATAAAGGTTTGTGAAATGGAAAAACACCTAATACTGTCAGTCCCTAGTGCACTATAATTTCCTACTGTACATCCGATCTGCTGGATATCATGCAGTGTTAATTAAGTAATTAATTAATTTTAGATGTATTTTGTTAATCACAGTTCCTTTTTTTTAGGAAGATGGTCTTGGGCTTACAGTAAGAAGAAGCACAAAAAGAAGACCTTGCTGCATTTAAATAAATCTGTTCACCAAGCAGGCAGCCATTTATTCTTGATAAGGGTCCAGGAACATGTCTAAGAACAAGACTGGATGGGATGCCTGTCCTTTGCAGAGCACACACAAAGTCTAAAAGCCTTAAGTTCCAGCTCATAATACACCTTTCATTCTAACTGGCACAGAGGTGCTTAAACAAGATTTTCAATTCATTTTTTGTACTGTCTGTGATCTGCAGTACATCATGCCCACAAAACAAACAAACACAAAACACATAAACCATAGTGCCTAATTTTATGAAGTTCCATGTACTTAACATAAGCAAAAAAGGATTATGTTTCATTATGAATGTGTAAAAGGAACTGCAATGTAAAAAAAAAGGAAATCTAGTTGAAATAATTCAATTTAGAGTCAAATGGACCATTATGGTGAGACTCTGTGGCTCTGGCCCTAATCTGCAAAATTCAATCCAAATCATTAATGCAATGTTTAGCCCAGTAGATAAAGGTTAAGTAAAAATAATGTCTCTGCTCTTATCATCAATGAACTTAAGACTGGAGAAGATTTTAAACAAGCTGAAGTGCAGTGTGACATAGGGGCACAGCAGACAGGATTTGTGTGCACTGGTTAAATCACTGTGTTTTCACGAGGTTTCTTTCTTAATACTTAGACCTGTTCATTTTCTTTTTCCATTATGGTTTCATTGATTTAACTATGTTTCTGAGGATGTCATTTAACAGCCCTTTTATCTTCATTTACTGGGGACATTTTCTAGACACTCCTGTGTGGTGCACTATTCAAGATTAATTTCACAGCTGGACAGAACTAAAACAACCTAAATCAGAGAAGTGTTGTTAACATTCACTCAGAAGAAAATGTAGTCATGCACTGAACAACATATGAATTACACAGAGTGAATGTGTGCAGAAAATGGTTTAGAAATATCCATTTGAGTTCGATAACCCCTTTTTGACATTACGCTGCTACTGAACAACAGTTTTTCTATACGGTATTCTTGCAACTTTCTTCTGTTTTTTTTTAGAATATCATATTAAAAAAAACCTAAACACAAATGCATAAACATAACAAGCAATGCATTGAGATTTAATACGAATATGATTTCATTAAAAAATAAAATGAATAAATATGCTGTTCTCTTCATTCTCATTATTTTACTAGAATCTAAAACAGAATATTTAATTTAAATTTATACTTTGAATAAGAAGCATTAGTGCTAATTCGAAATTATAATTTATTAATACAAGGATACAATCTGAACAGATTTTATGCGCTAAGGAAAGATAAAGGATCTAATTACCAATATAAAAGTCCCCAGTAGTAACTGTACTTGCGTATCATTTATTTCAGCATGAGGATTTATCAGTCGGATACACATGTGAGTAAGCTGATAGCATCTGTTTCACTGTACATGCACTGTGGGTGCTCAGGATTTTAGCAGTGAAAGTCATGCTCCCTTTTACACTGGCTTACTGTACATCATGCCCAGGGCAATTTAGCTGTCGCCTTCCAGCATGTCTAGACAGAGTGCCACAGAGGGGTAACAAGCTGAAAGCACCTTTCTGGACAAAATAAATGAATTCCTATCCACTCTAAACCATCGTGCACCACTCTGTGTTTTCTCTTTTAAAAAAAATCATAAATAAATAAATTAGGTAAAATATCTACTGTATATACAGTAATATACTGTATCTGTAAAATATAGTTTTAGGCAGTATCAGAAATGCCTTCTCACGCAGAGGGAGGTCATTCAGCAGAACAACAGTTTCACACTGCCACCGCGACATACCACACTCTTAAAAACACATAATAAAACACATTCCCTACCTTATCAACAGACAGTCATAACCTCACTGTCACTTGCTGACTTTGTGTTTGTTCCCAAAAGGAAACAGCACAAGCTGCATCTCTGCACCAGAAAACAGTAAAATAACATTTTGACCATTAGGTTGCAGGGTAACCCAAAACGAGCAATACGGTAGAGAAGAAAGGGATTATGGGTTACAAATTGCTGCTAAAAATCCCTTTGATTAGCCAGTGTCGCCTACTGTCTGTCCTCCCACGATGGAGCATGTTCCAGTTAAATCTCATTCCCTCCAGTAACTTTCAGACATTTTTATTTTTTTTAATAATGATCCCTTTCCTTAAAATAGCCCCTGATTTCCTGTCTCCCAGCAGCACATTTCTTTTCATTTCTGTCAAGCCATCCTCTTTGGTGGTGCGTGATGGATACTGTGCCTGTCGCTGTGATCCAGGTCTCGCCTGGGGGCTGCCTGGTGTTTTAGTTACAGTCTAATGAGACGCGAGACAGGTGCTGGGTCTGACTGCTTCTCGCTGACTCCACTTCTCAATCCAGGTTGGAGAATGACAATTCCAAAATAAATAAGGGGCTCGAGAAATATGAGATACAGATTAATAATAAAGATTCAAGTTAAATGGAGAAAAATTTAGTGAATTTACTGTTATCTTTTTTTCCCCCCCACATTCACAGAGCTACACCAAACCGCTGATCCTTATAGGCTGTTGTTCGTGAATGTCACACAAGGAGAATGAAAAGTTCAAAAAGAACA